ATGCTAAGACAAAATATCTGAGAAAATCAACTCACAAAGAGGAAAGGTTTCCTTTGGTTCATTGTCTCAAAGGTTTCATGCCATGGTCATTGGCTGCATTGCTTTTGGGCTTGTGGCACCATAGCAGGAGTGTGGGGCCAGGGAAAACTGTTTACCTCATGGCTGCAGAGAAACAGAGGGAAAAGAAGGTCCCAGTATCCAGGTCAAGGGCACACTCCACAATGGCCTAACTTCCTCCCACTGCACCACATCCCAGTAGAGCCACAAACAAGCTGCCAGGGCCTTAGCCACATCTTGAGCTAATAGCTCTGTATCTTAACATGGACAGAGGGATGGAATTCCAATATTTAGACAAAGTATGCTTTTACCGTTTCTGACATCTCTTCCCCATGAGTGTCTTCATGATCCTATAGGGTAAAGAAAGCATTTTACACACAAGCTGTCAGAGTTCAGAGAGATTTGATGACCCCAGAGAAAGCTGAGAGAGATTTGGTCTAGAGTCCAACTTGGTCAATGAGTGATCACTGTTCTCTACTCTCTGCTGCCACATTTTCAAAAATTACATACTCAAGGTCCCACTGTTCCTGGCCCAGAGGTAGGGGCTTCTGAGCTGCCATCCCACTGGTCCTTGTCCAGAGGAAGGGACATCGTGGCCACGAGCCACTCCGCCACTCCCAGCCCAGAGGAAGGGGCTTCAGGGCCACCAGCTGTACCACTGCTCCTGGCCCAGAGGAAGGGGCTTCTGAGCCACTGTTGCACTGCTCCTGGTACAGAGAAAGGGGCTTCTGGGCCACCATCCAGCCCACCACTCTGGGCCCAGAGGAAAGGGCTTCCCAGCCATCGTCCATCCCGGCACTCCCAGCCCAGAGGAAAGGGCTTTTGGGCTGCCATCCATCCCACAGCTCCTGGCCCCATCCCACCTCTCCCAGTTCAGAGGAGGTAAGATGCACAGGCACCAACAGCACTACCCTCCACCCCTGGGTCGAAATGAGAAGATATGTAAATAAGTCACAAAACCAGACTTCCAGATCACCTACAGCAACCTCAAGGGGAAATGAGATGGAGCACTCTGATACTCAAAAACTTGGACCCACTGAACTGGCAACAAAAGGGGATCTGGAAA